CATGCCCCCCTTTCAACTCACGCCACCCAACCCCTTTGGGATGCTTCACCCACGTGCTTTCTAACGCACACAGTTACGCACTGGAATATTTATGTATTGGTGTCACGTACGGAGACTTTAAACTATCCCCCAACCCCCCTCCGTCCCCCTCTCCACCCGTTAAAAGGGGCGGAATGAGGGAGACGGAGAAGTGGGGGCGTCGATGACCTCGGTGAATGATTTTTACGGGATTTTTTTTTTCTCCGTTTTTTGTATTTCCGGGGAAAAAAAAAGGGAATAAAATTGGTATTCCCGGGTGCTGCACATCTCTTCATCAACAGTATCCGCTGATGATGCATGACTCCAGTCACCTCTCCCCATCCCCTTTGTCCGGAGTATCGTTTCCCGGAGCCCCGGGAGAATTTCCAGTGCCCGAGCTGAATCGATGATTTTGCAGTGGGTGGTGGGTGAATAGGGGGAGGAGAAAAATATATTTGCCTCCCACCGTCAGTATATTTCCCTCCTATCTCCCAAAAATCCGTGCACCGAGAACTGGGAGTCATCAGACTGCCGGTAGAATAAATAGGGAGTGAAAAATTTTCAGCGAGGGGATGGGAAAAATAAATGGAAATTCACAGCAGAGATGGGGTATTTGTGAATGGGTATTGACTGTCCGGGTTAATGATTAAGGACTTGAAATGTAAATTCTCTTGTTTGCACTGGAAGGGATTTGGTTATTGATACAACAATACTAGAGATTGAGTCCAAATTTGTCGAACCAAAAATTTTCAACCGGAAGTGATTTTTATCGCGCGAAAATTCGAGATATATTTTTCACCCATTATTCCTCCCACCCATCAAAAGAAATATTGAACAAATAATTATGCGATCGTTATCATCTCTTCACCTTGATCATGAGTACTTATCTTATCGCTGATAACTAAAAATTGAAATGGCTACCCAAAGACAGCCATCTTTTTACGTCAAGACAGATAAAAGCGATTGTTCAAATAAAATAACGATTAGAGGACTAGCTCGAGCGTTCGCCACTCCTCGATGATAAAAACAACTGATAAGAATATTTATTAAAGGCAACATCCATTTGCTGCTAAAGTCGTTCTCATTTCTCGAGAGAAATCCTCCGCTTGACGGAAATCTCTAATTTGTTAATGCCTCATGAAAAATTTTCGGCTAGAATGGTCTCTTCTTTTCTCTCTCACTCGGACCATAAAGGAATACGGGTTACTTAATTTTGCTCAGCTAAGATCAACCTCCCCCTCGCAAATGGAGTAAAGAGAATGTGCAAAACTACGAAACAAACGTGGCACGTTATTACATCACCATCGCCATGGGAAGCAGTTCGTCTAGTCTCATGTACCTCCTCTCCCCTCTGTACCTACTTTCTGGGATGCATTACATCTGTGTGTGCATATGTACTTAGATTGGCTCCTATTGACACGCCGGTAGAGTTTTATATGTCCTGGTACAGTCCAGAAAAATCAACATGATAAAATCAAAAAATTGGGGATGAACAGAAAAAAAGTGGAGAGACAATTTTCATGTACCGATTTCTTACCGGTTTTTCTCGATTTTTTCATCAAACTTCAATTCCATTACCCTTGACAAATTCATGGAGAGAATTCTTACGTGTCGGAGATTGATTTACGATTGCAGTTATGAGTGACGAGTGGTCATAAATATAGTGAATGAATTTTCCAAGTGGTGGGATGAGAATGGAAATGGACGTCTTTGGAGAAGGTCTTCGGGAATTGGGGAGAGCATGACCGAGAAATGGTGAGGTTAGGTGTTGTTTCGTATACGAGTCATTCGATACCATCACCAGATCGATATCCCGTTCATCAGTCGAGCAAACCTGGGTTATTCGAATGTGCACTATAGGCGTAGCCTCTCACAATCCCACACATCCTCTCCTACCGATTGCCCCATGCACATGGGTTCCTGTAACATTATTTCCCACTCTCACAATTACATTTACATCCCTGATTCGTTTCCTGCAAATCGAGGAGACATTTCAATCGCAAATTATTAAAACCCATCGACACATCACCGATTGACAATTAGACTTTCTGCATTTCCATACCACTCACCCGTTTATATCAATAATTTTCATTCACCGCGGCTACATAATGTGGATATTTTAACATTGCAAACATTTATTTTTAGTCACGGAACAAGCTTTCAGTGCAGTCTGTACTTAACCAATGGCTTTTTCTAGTGCAAGAGCAGTTTTTCTATTAAGCTTCATTTGTTTCTTTCATTGCGTAATGCGCCGGACGCGTCGCTCATTTCATCCTACTGTCCAATACAACGTTTCATACATTTGGTTGTATATTTTCACATTGAAATTCTTAATCCATCGGTTTTTTTTTCTGCCAACGTCAGTACAACCTAATTCTCACACCGGACGTTTATATTCCACATCTTCACTCGAGGGTATCCAAGTATTTCCTCTATTTCTGCACTTCATTTGAATTCGCTACTATTTTTTTACAACTGCCATTCCCATTAAAAATATTTTTATTTCAATAAATGAAGGTATCGAAATTCAATGAGAAAATAATTTTTTCAATAGGGGATGATGTGATTGGATATCGTCAATGTGAAAAAACTTAACGATTTTAGTCGAGACATAAACCTGATTTTCCCCTAGTCACTAGTTGTCGAATTGTCCGGTAGACGTCACCTCGCCCTGGGGTTGTTTCCCAAGGGGTTGGCGCCAGGCACCACCGCATGTTCAGCAGACGTGAAATCCATCGCTAAAAATTCCCAAACCAGGTAAAACTCTTATCTGAATCTCCACAGACAACAGTCACCGATAGCCATCCGAAACCCTTTCACAAAATTATTTATTATCCCAAAATTAGCATGAGGCCACTTGCAAAATACCCCAATGCCTCGAATAAAGAATCGAAATAAATAAATACCCATCAAGACAAATGCCTTCCTTCACTAAACATCACGAGTGCTTCTTTTATTATTTTTTTTTTTCCACAATCAGAGGATCTCATCGCCCGAGAGACTCACTCCAACTGGCCCTCGCCACTGCGAACAAAAAAATGAAAAAAAAAAAATTATCGAATGGAGGAATAAGAAACATATACTTAATGCCAACGTTTGCCTACGTTTACTTAACCGTAAAAAAGGGCCTCTCGTTGCACAAGTACAGCTGCTGATCGAGATCTCACTTGATCAGGTGCATCTCGTGGCGATGGGAGGGGAGAAATCCCAAATCGTGAATTGGGATCTTTTATAAAAGCAAACCCACCCACTATCCGGCTGGTTACTCTATCGATTCTCACCTGTTTCTACCTTGTACTCGCTCATTTGTAATTTAAAGCATGTAATAATGCACTCTGTACGTGGCATTATTTTTTTTTTCAAAGAGTTACGTACGCCCACCGGGTATTATCCTAACTCTGCGGGAATCCCGAGAGAAAAAAAAATGCTTGACCGGATGTTGCTTGTCTACTCTTTTTTATTTATTTTTCATTTCCGAGGTTCGAGATTACGGGCGGGAAAGAAGAACGGAGGACTTTCCGATCAAAAATAAATTGTCGCTTATGCCGATTTTTTGTTGTTGATTAAATATTATTCAACATTTTTTATTAATCAGCCGTAAATCCCAAAAACTTTGATCCCGATCGGCTTGAGTGGATCCCCCGGTAAAAGCCTCATCTCCAATGGAGGAACAGGTGTTTGGGGTTGAGTGCACCATCTCCCGTTGACACAAGTATTTTTTGTGCAACCCAGCTCACTGGTTAATTTTTACCCAGCCCTGTCCACCCGATCCACCCCCCGACTCTTTCATATTTCGACCAGAACACCGATCTCCTTTGACTCCTCCAAAGGCCCTCCACCTGGGGAAGACTAGAGCACGTGGCCAGGGACAAAGGCAAGCGCCCAAGAAAAAAAAAAATTAACCTGAGAGAGAAAAAAAAAGAATTGGAGCTCATCCCCATTAGCGATCCAACACACGTGTCTGGCACGTGGGAAAAAAAGATGATGGTGGTCAGAAAGAAGGAAGGAAGGTACCACCTAGGTGGGGGGCCAGCATCAACGGATTGGCCTAGGTGTGTTTGAGGGGTGGCAGAGGCCACGTAGGAGGGCCCTTTTTTGCCCATCAAACTGAAGAGAGTTGAAACACTTGACGTTTTATAGCGTCAAGCCCCCCCCTTGCGCCCCCTCTTATCTAAATACAGCAAGAAAGAAAGGGAAAATTGGTAGATCGGTGAGGGTGGGAGGCTGACGAACAGGTGGAGTGGGGAAGATCCTTGGGGTGGAGGGGTTTAATGCCTTTACGGTGTTGTGTGGAGGGGGTGGTTTCTGCGCACAAGGGATGACGTTAGAAATAAGGGGAAGTTAATGTCGTTGGGGGGAGGAGGCGAGGAGGGGTGCCTGGAGGAAAGAGCTCTCGGTTATTTCCTCGTGGGTGGACAGGATGGGGATGCGTAAGACAACGGAATGACCATCGGACTATTCCAGTACCCCTCGCTACCCCCCTTACCCCACTATCTCAGGACGGATTGTGGCTTGAGTGTATATGAGACCCACCTAAAACCCAAAATCCTGGTGTATATCCGTGGTATTGTCCGGTGATAAACTTAATGGTCAGTTTGAACCCAGTGATTGTTCTATATTTGAGGAGAGGGCCCGGGGGCAGGGGGCATCGTAGGACTGTCTTTAATTGTTCTCGTGAATAATTTTTTTTAATAGTAAGTAAGGAAGATCATAAAAAATATTTTCAGTCTTGCATTTTTTTCTCTTTCGTCTTCATTCTGTCCCCCTTGATGGGGGGCGGAGGGGGATTTGATTGGATTATCCTCGAGGGCGGGTTGTGACACTGGGAGGGGTTCGAAAAAAAGGGAGTCCACCTCTCTGTTCTATTCACTTTTTATAATCAAGCCCCCCATTCCCCCCTCAACTCCCCCACGATGGTAGTTAGTCACGCATGTGTTGCAACACCCGGGGCACGGGTAAAAATGATTCCCCTTGGCATTTTTTTCCGTCTCTATCAGGCCTCCTACTTCTTTTTCATACTCACGATATAGCCACCCCCTTACGCTGCAGTCAGCCAACGGAAAAAGAGAGGGGGCCCACACTCCTTCGATGGCTTTTTTTTCTACCCCCCTCATATCGAAAAACAAGTCAGTCGTGGATTAACAGTCGTAACGAGTAGAGTGAATTTTTTTTTCCCAGTGTCTGGGTTACTCGGTTTTTTGGAGACGACGAGAGAAAAAAAGAGTGGAAGGGGAGTGGAAGAAGTGGTGTCCGTCGAATGGAAAGTGAGACTATTTCCCGTTTGGCTTATTCTCCTCATCACAACCCCCTCATCTGATTTTTCCCCACTCATTTTATCCCACGCAGGCATCATCCTAAAAAGCACCCGAAAAGTACAGGTGGGGGGGGTGAGTGGATGGTGGAAAAAGGAATGGGGGAGAAGGAGAGATAGAGAAGGCCGGAATACCTCAAGCTTTCCACATTACCCACTACTGGGGTTGTTCTCTCAAACGACGTTCGGCGTCGTCGTCGTCTCCGTCGTGAGAGTGAAAGCGTGCGCCGTATGGCAGGGATTCGATAGGGGTGTGGAGGGAGGTGTACAAGGGGTTGATGTTATACGTGTGTGGGAGATTGTGCTGTTGAACGAGGAGAAACTCCGTAGGGTTTTCACCAAGGAGGGGTAGCTGCGAGGGATCAGGGGAGGTACCATGGAAAACTCCTGGCTCAGGATGGTGGGGGTGGATTGTCCAGTGGACTAGGAGTTTTTGCCTTAAACCGTTATACCAGTTTTCGTGGCACCGGGTGCACCGGCTACTGGAGGAGGTATCCCGAGAAAATAGGTTAGCCTCGGTGAATTTTCTCGGGTCCCTCCTCCCAAGTGTCCGAGGGTTCACCATCAGGTTCGTGATAATAACATCGTTATACCGTCTTTTAACAAGTTTTCTTGAAGATTTGACCAGATTTGACCAGAGGCCGACAAAGTCTTGCTCTTAGGTTCACAAAGATGGGGATCCCCTTTCTAGAATCGGGACGGAGGGGGGCAGTGATGGAGGATGGGGGTGAAAGAGAGTGGAAGAAGGTGGAAGAGGGTGGAAGAAGGTAGAATAAGGTGGAAGAGAGTGGAAGAGGGGGCAGTGTGAGTAGGGGTTAGAGGGGTAGAGGGTGGAAGTAAGGTTAGGAAAAGACTTGAGAACGTGGTGAGGAGACAAACGCTTGAGGGCGGTAAAAGTAGGAGGACAGGGGTGGTTGGTGAGGATGGAAAGAGAAGATACACGGTGGGCTCTTTAAGGGGGGTAGGATAACGCGGGGGAGGAAGGGGGGTGGCTGGGAGAATTGTGTGGAGAAGGCACCCCCCTGAGTTGAAGAGAGAAGTTGAGGGTAGCCGGCCAGAAATTTCGCGACCGCGCACCACCTAAGACAACGCCCCTACTCCTCTCGGCAATACACACTACTCAAAGCGGTGTTCTTTAAGGCACTAGGGGGGTGGCTTTTAGTCAGACGCACGCGGTCTGAGACGCGCGCCACCACCGGCAAATACGTTGAGAGGACTTAGCATTTCTCGTGAGCCACATAACCGAGTCAGTTCGGGTTTTCCTACTCCTTGTACAACGACTCGGTGAAATATTTTACGGGTTCAACAGCATAATCTTTGATATTTTTCATTTATTTATTTTATTCGGTGATGATTTTAGGGAGTTTTAACGCGTAATCAAGTTGTGGAATAAAGTATTCCAATGTTGAATTGTTTTGGGGAGGATTCATGACGAGACGTATTGCAATCGTACACGTTTTGTTTTTGTACTTCGTGTTTCGTTGAGTTGAATACCTGCCCGGGTACTTGATAGTTGGTACTCAGTCAATTGTTGTAGTTGAGGTGTCTAGTACGAGTTGATGTTTCGTGGACCTTAGGATCCGGTGGATTCTGAATTACGTTGCTGGTTGTTTGGGTAAATCTAGATACTCTTGGGGATCGTGTAAGATATCTTCATTTATGTTGAAATTAACGCTGCTAATTAGTGATGTTTGACCGCATTGGTTCGATCACGAACCAGTATTATTCGACAATAGTGATTGTGCTCAGTCTTTTGTGGTCAGTGATGACCGGCTGTATAATGCCAAAACTTCTCATCTCGACTCGATGCATTCATGTCGAATAATACCGGGCTCCATCGGTTTCTTACCTCATCATCAATGTCAGTGGTCATCTGCCAAGTGTAACGTACCATCAATCATCATGAGTATCATCCCCGTGTACATGATTTTGTGAAGGATTGGACTGTTTGTGGTAGAAGTGAAAGTTTCAAATTTTCCAACGGATATCTGGAGATCAGTGATGAGTGGCCATCACAATGACCATGATTTCAGCTGGACGGAGCAGCTGAAGTGATGGACAAAATTGTTATCCTTATCAAAGGCTTTGGTCCATTTGATATCAACTGTCAAATCACTTGATCTAACTTTCATTTCCCGCCTGTCTCTTGTATGCTTCTCCGTCATATCAGGGGTAGTCTCGTTTGAAAGTGTTTGAAAAGAACAAAACTGGCGCGTTTTTCCGGCCAGGAAAGTTGTCTCTCCGTGTCTCTTACTTTGTTCCTTTTTTTTCGCGGTATTCCTTTTATTATTCCCTTCGTCGGTAACAGGTTGTGGTTGGAGGAACAAAAAAAAAATGAAGAAAGGGAACAAATAAAGGGGAGAAAGAAGTGAAAGCCGAACCCGACGCGAGTGACTCTTTGCGTGATTTCCGACGGTTTTTTTTTCCATTAGTTTTTACACTTTCTTTTATTTTTTCCATCAGCTTTGTCTTTTGGGGATGGATCTTTGAGGGAATCAGGGGCGCGCGGACTTTGCGACGGCACAACGACAACTGATAGTTCTGGATTATATTTTACTCTCAATTGTGAATCAGTAATTAGTTGTTTAGAATACTTGATTGCGATGGGTCTCGGGTATTTTCCTGTTTTTCAATTTCATCTCCGGTCGTGTGACATGTGTCAGTGAATTTTCAACTGCTTTATTATTAACTCCTCTGTTATATTCTCACTCCAACTTGAAACTCCACTGTCTCGTCCAAACCCACCACCTGTACAAGAGAGAGAAAGTGTCACCGTGTGTTACAAATGTCATGTGTCCAGTGGTTGTACCTTCGAAATGTAATAATTCACATCCCCTGAAATAATACCCCGCATTGTAAAATATAAATTATTGTGCTCCAACTAAAATAACGAAAGAAATGATAATAATTGGTGATTTGTGTTTCAGTTTCGAGCGGGAGACGCATTGCAGCGAGATATTCCCGCGCAGGAGAGGAAGACTGGACAAAGCGGAAGAAGCTGAATAAGACGAGAAGAAGAAGATAAAGTGGGAAAAAGAAGATAAAGTTGTTTTTTTAAAGAAAAAATAAGCTCACAGTGACGAAGTGGAGTGAAGAATCATAGATTTCCGACGACAAAATAATTGCGAGGAATCACCAGTGGATAAAGATTTTTTTGACTGTCGGAAATAATCGGGGGCGCGAGAGAGTTTGATACGATAAAGTTTTTCAATGAGATAAAAAGGTGGTGTGAGCAAGTTCAAAGTGTCCATCGAACGAGTATTAAAAATTATATCGGCGAATTATTAATCAAACCGCTAAAATCAGTAAACTGACAGCCGAAATCAACCTCGGCCCCCCCTGAAGAACGTGAAAGAGCCGCATACATATATATTTCAGTGTGTTCAAAAAAAAAAACAAGTGTACCTAAGTGCAATATTAATTAAAACATTTAAAACGATAATAAGAAAAAACCATCAACAATCGGTCAATATGCGGTTTTGAAAAAGATTAAAGAAAAACTTCTTGGAGACGATGATGCGGAGAGAGTAGAGTGAGGGAAGAGAGTTAGATGAAGTTAAGTGAGAAGGAGTATATAGAAATCCTCTTAAGACGTCTAGAGTCGCATTTCTCGAGGAGGAGTCGTCAACGGACAATTGGTTACAGCCGACTTTATCGGAGAATAATCCAATAAAATTCAATACAAGCAACATCTAACGAAGATAACAACGCACAGTTTGAGGAGTGTGTCATCCTTAATCAACCAAATCAACTGTTTTCGTTCCGAAAACTAACACTTAATTATTAATCAACACGCAGTTATCTGCAACTACACAAACAACATAACAATACATAAAACGGGGCAAAAACTCAGGGCAAAACGGAACGAAACAGCGCTGTCATCGAGATTAATAAAAAAAAATAAATAAATAAAAGTGGGTGATTTGAACTCTTGAAAAGTGACTCTTCGTTAAAACGTATCTCCCAAGAATTTGTATAATCAGCATCTCCTTGGAGTCGTGTCCGTGGACCTCCATCTCGTTCACACCGTCCGGGCTGGGCAATCCTGAATTTAACCTGAACTTAAGTGTATGATAGGATTTAAGTAGATAGAAAGAAATAGGCTGTCCTCACGCCGAGAGGTACATCCACACGCACATTAATTTAATAACACTAACACACCACACATTAGACAAATAACGAGACGAGACAGTAATAAAGTTTGAATAAACGGTCTGTACGGGGAGTAACTGTTCGGCAGTTATCGATAAGTTGTGTTGCTGATAACTTGCTTTGATGCGCAAAAAAGATCCAGGTGAGTCAAGGAAGGAGAAGATTAAACGGGTGACGTATGACAACTGACGTTGCGCCCATTTAATAACATCGAAACAAGCCTAATAGAGAGGAAGAAAATAAAGCGGTATAAATAATAATCTCAATATCGTGGATCTGTGAGAGTCAGTCATAACGACGTGTACATCGTACTTTGCTTCAAGGGTGGCTGGTTACGGCTACCCATCAGTGGTGAGTAACGGCGGTTACGCGCCACTACACCATCGAGCTGGTGCTACTTAACGGTAGGTGTGCCAAAAAGCGGGCAAGCTGCGCCGTAAAGGGGTAGCACGGGCTTCGCGCGAAGGCCTCAAGATTTCAGACGCGACGGCGGCCCTGGACCTGCGCGCACAGACGCAAGCCCAGCCGGATTTTGTTGGCCTGGAGCGGCAGCATCTCCATCCGCAGCAGCACCAGGTCCAAACAAGTCCGGAATTACATCAACACAATCAGCAACAGTCACAATTATCGCAGCAACAGCAACAGCGTATACCACTGCACAGTGATCACCATACACACCATCATCATTTGTCAAATCACCATCATCCTGGAGATACGGGGGGTGGGTTAGGTGGTGGTGGTGGTGGTGGTAGTGATGGTTTAGGCGTTATTGGTGGTAACGGTGGAGAACAAACGACTATTGGCGTTGTCGGAGCAGCCGAGGAGGCAAGAAGGCTGCAAGACGACGAGGAAGATATTACAGAGAGAGAGGACGAGGAGGAGGACGAGGACCCGAGCTCGCCGGAACCGGACTTGGAGCCGGATCCCGAGCCAATGGAGGTCCAAGCATCAGCTGTATCCGCAGCAGCGGCTAATTTGCATGCATTGCGACAGCACGTTTTTAAAATGTCGGATTATTGGCAACAGCCACAAAGAGGACCACCACAGCATTCACCGGGTATACAGCATAGTCCTGTACAAAATACCCAAGCACAGAATTCACAGGGACAGAATCAGCAGCAGCATAATCAACAGGCTTCCATGCACAGTCCACTTGGACAGGCCCAGCAGCAACAGCAGCAACAGCAGCAGCAACAGCAGCAGGGACAGCAGAACAATGGCACTGTTCCTCAGCCAACGAGTTTAGGGCCCAATCAGGGGCAGCTGCAGCAACAGCAGCAGCATGCAATTGCAATGGGCCAACAGACACCGCAGGGACAGCATCAGTCCTCGTCGACACCTACAACTCCATCGCCTCAGGGCGATCATCAGGGTACGATAACTGCGAGTATGGCACAGAGTCTTCATAATTTGGCCCAAGCCCAGCAGTCAATGTCACAAACGTCTAGTCCATCGTTGGCAGCACAAGCTGTACAAGCGGCCCAGGCCCTCAATCCAAATCTTGGACAAGCCTTGTCACAGGCGCTCACCCAAAATATGCAGCAGAATCTTGGTCAGACACTGCAGCATAATCTTGCACAGAGTCTAACACCAAGTTTATCACCTCAACAGCAGCAACAGCTGCTTAATCAACCCCAGAATCTTAGTCAAGCCAGCCAGAGCCTCCAGCAGAATCTTCAGAACCAAGCGCAAAATCTCACGCAAACGCTGCAACAGCAAGCGCAAAATCTCAGTCAAAATCTTGGTCAAACGTTGAATCAACAGACGTTACAGCAGCAAGCCCAGAATCTCAGTCAAAATCTTCAACAGCAGGCCCAGAATCTCACGCAGAATCTCCAACAGCAGGCCCTGAGCATGGCTGGCTCGATGGTACAAAATGGTCTCGGTGGGATGAATGTTTCAGGGAATCAACAGCAGAACTCTCAAAATTCAATGCTGAGTCCTGGAGCTGGAAGCCAGGACTCCCACGATGCCACTCTCACCGAGAAACTTGTCAACGAGCTTCAGGTGAGTATCCTCACAGTAAAAGCTACTATGATTATCAGGCTTTTGGGGTAATTGGTTATCTTCTTGAAAACTGCTCGGTGTAGATCAATAATTAACAAATACTTTTGGTAATGGGTTGCTGCTGAGAACACACAAATAGTATCATTGTACGGTTTTTTGTACAGTAGATTAACATTCCAACGCCTATAGCCATGGGGTTCTTGACCCGCGCAATTGCATCATGATGACCATCAAAAAATATTCGTGTGTGGTATATCCGCGCGATGAAGTGATTTCACCACAAGAATTTTAAGAGGATACAATCAATATACAATACATAACCCTAAAGATAACTTTGATTACAATTTTTCAACATTCACGCATTTTATTCTCAAATAATCGTTTACGATTGTATCGACCATCGGTAATTGAGCCATTTGCGTAATATCTAAATCGCCAATAAATTATCCATCACTTACAAACAGATGCAGGTAAAAAAAAAAACATTTAACTTCAATCGTTGAATGAAGGTGTGTATTGATTCAATGCCGAGAGTAACGTCGTTAGAGGTGCGAGTTAGCGTAATTTTATGGCTACCTAATCGTCGTGGAGGATCGTAAACACGACGGTTGAGGATATACCCACGGCTTTACGTGTTTATACCCGTTGTGGTATATAACTATGGGCACGTGGGTTTTAAGGGTATGGAAAAGGTGGAACGGGCAGGGGGGGGGAGGGGGGCGGTAGGGAGGCAACGTCCAATGTTGATCAAAATTCAGGGAAAATTGTCAGTTTTTTTTTCTAAATAAAAAATCAAAGCAAATATCTCTCTCTATCCACGCTTGCATAATGGATAACGCAGTCTCGTGCCTCTGCGGCTGGTCTCGGAGGTGCCGGCGGGGGCGGTGGAATGGCCAACATCAACGAACGCACCCTCGAGGAATGCTGGTCCACCCTGCAGCGAGTGAGTTGACTCATCAACTCTTAAAAATCAATATTATATTCGTTATTATTTTTATTTATTTTTATTTATTTTTTTTTTCATTGTCACAATCATGCAACACCTTCATCGCGCACATTTTTGTTGCGGATTTTTATCAGTTTAGCTCGTCCTCATTATCAATCGCTTTCTTGCATGATCGAGCTGTTCATTTAAGTTGCTGATGGAATTTTTACGTTCTGATTTTTTTTTTTCTTTCTGGCAAGTGACATTTTTTTTTTTATTTGAGAACGCGTCATTTTGCTGTGGCATGCATATATTTTTACTCGATGTTGTCTACCTGTTGGAATTATCGGCTGGTTATGAAGGGTAAATAATGGCATTATGCGGAAAAAATTATTTTCATTGGGGGAAAATGGATGGAGGGATTTTAAATATCACTGTAATTTCATCAATGTCATTCTACCGGATGATGTCGACAAAAACAGGTGGAAATGACGGCTCGAACGTTGCATCAAGTCCCACTGAGTACGAGTGGAAATCATTATCAGAGTTTCGGTGAACATATTTGTATATTTTTACCGTTCATTCATCCTACGTTTCTATTGAGAGAAGAGGAGACAATGGTTAATAACCGCGAATAGTGGATTTTCATCATTTCAAATGATTTGCTATCGCACAAATTCATCGAGATTTTTCAGAATTATTTGGAATCGGGGAGATATAATTTTTATTCGGCTGCAACAGCGCGGGAGAAAAGTCTTTTCGGGGAAAATTTTTTTCGTGAAAAAAAAATAGTGAGAATGATGTCTCGAGGAGGTGACCAGAAGTGGTTCCTCTCCACTTTCCGTGGAAAATGTTCACCCAAGTGGCCCCCCATCACTTGGAAAAGGTATTTGAAAGAAAGAAAATTGTCACTAACGAGCGCTGAATTGTGTTAGATGGGGTAGGAGACGGTAGGCTCTTGGTAAAGAGTGGCCCAACTGCCTATAGCCAAGAAATGAGAATGGGGATGAGTGAAAACTCGTGGTGAAAAAAAAAAATAAAAAAAGAAAAGACTGTAGAAGTTTTAAATTCTCCTCTGTTAACCGAAGCAACAATTTGTTTCGTTAAGTAGCCCATCTCCCTTTGTTTTTGTGGCTTTTTATTATTTTCAAAGTCTCAAGGGGTGAAAAGAATTCCCTCCCACCCCTCATACTTCTGGTAACAACGTTTTCTCTCACTCTCAGTCTAGATATGGCATTTCGTCGCGTTTTCCGCGAAGTGGAAGAAAGTTTTTACAGAGGTAAAAAGAGTTGGCGGGAGGGGAGGATGGGAGAGGGTGGAGGGGATATAAAATCGCAAAAACGCGGAAACACCGTGAAGCCTGGGACGCAATGGGAAAGTTTTCCACCCACGTTTCACTGAGATTTAATTAAAACATTCACTTTTCCTTTTCAACCTTTTCTATTTTTATTATTATTCTTCTTTTTTTAATATAATAATTTTTGCCATTTTTTTTCCCTCAAGTTTTACCGGCGAATTTGGGGAATAGGGAGAGGTGAATTGAGTTGTAAATTTGTAGGATTTTATTTTCTTTACGTGGGTGATCATGAATATATTCTCGTTTGCATTCTAATCGAAAATAGAAGGGGGGATGTAAGAACTCGCCCTTCTTTACTCGTGAAATAAAAAAAAAAAAATTCCACCCCGTAGACTCATCTGGAGCGCAAAATGCGAGGTAGGGTTGGGGAGGTAAAAAAGAAAAGAGAGAATATGAAGGGGGTGGAGAACCAATATTTCGCACCCCTACGCACGAGCGAGTGATTTTTGGAGAGAACGGGTGGGTCTTCGTGAAATGAAAAAAAAAAGAGGGTGTGAAGATTGTGTGAAGAGGTGTCCAATCGGAAACTATTTCAAAATCAATACAAAATGGCAGTACCCGCCCTGTGGGGATAACACCCCGTCAACCCGTCATTTCTAATCTCGAATTAATTGAAAAATTTATCGTAGGGGTTGGATAATGATATTCATGAGTGACACGTGAGAAAATAGGAGAGAAGTTTTATGAAAATAATCGGTTGATTGAAAAAAATAAGTGAAAGCCCTTCTGCTGTTGCGCTCGTTAATTAAAATCCAATTATTAGCTGCACTTGATTTTTCAACCCTTGATTGTGGATTTTTGTCGGAATTATGAGTTGAGTCTCGGGGTGAGGAGAAATAATTTAAATTCATATGTTGCGTGGGAAATTGGTTTTAATAAAGTTAAATCCCATCGATACCCATGAAAATTGAGCCTTCACCTATTACCAAACAAAATCCTCTCGAATCACGCGATAACACTTTATGAAACTCCACAAAATCCCGAGAAGCAATCGATCTGTTAAATAAATCGGTGAAGCCATTCGTAGGAAAGAATATCATTTCGTATTTTATCTTTCGCCGTAACAGCCCCGCGACATGATACGAGTGAAAATGAGTTCATTCAATCGAGAGACAATTTGAAATAAATATAAAAAATCGAGTAAAAAGATGAATAATGAAAACAATAGGACATCGGACCGTTATACATTCCAATTAGACGCCTCCCAACCCCCCGAAAAAAAAAACGTGAATAGTGAAAAATAGAGGAGGGAGAACGTGAGAATTCATTCTTGAACTTCCTATCATTTTTTTTTCCTTTCTCAACTGGAAGAATTTTTTTTCTTACCGCTCATTCTTGTCGGACCTAAAATAGGGGTTGAATTTTTGAGACAATGGGCCTGTACCTAGGGTTCACTCTATCCAATTTGCATTGTGTGCATTTATAAATTTTCTAACCCTTTATCAACTACTCTAACTCTCATTCCTGTATTTTTCTTTCTGTTGGATATAACTTTTTTTTTTCGCGGAAATTCCGGTTATGCAGCTGTCGGAGATGCAAACACTTGAAATAATCTTTAGAAAATAATTTTAATGGAGTTGTTTAAAAAATGCACAATGTTAGGAATAATTATTTCAATTGAAAACAAGATGAAATTTTTTCCGTCATTAATCTGTAATTCAGAAATATAACAACTGATAGAAAAAATGTAGGATATTTTTTTTTTAATTCGCCACACACTCTGCAATCTTATCGTCGAGGCAAAAGTCGGTCCGGCGATCCACCGCGTACATGGTATCCACCACACTCCGGTTATTGGAGTCAACGTACGATAAAAAATGAGAAGAGAAAAAACTCCAACAAGAAAAAAGGGAATAATAATAAAAGAAAAAAAAGAATGGACGTTGGAGTATATGTAACTTGTACAAGGCGCATATACTCCGAGACACAAAGAATAAACTCAAGCCGCCCCCACTTCTTCTTCTTCTCCTTGTCGCTGCCACTTCTCTTTTTATCTCCCGGTTATACTACAGTTTTAACTTTCGTCCCTTCCTTCTTCATCGCGCACTCAGCATCGGGGGAAAAACGCGAGCGTGTGGGCGAGTTGTACATGCCCGCGGTTCTTCCTGGGGTAGGTCACGGTAAAATCTCGCGCGCCGACAGAGGAGAGGTTTTGTCCATTTAGTCGTGGCTGGTGGGACTGAGAGCGATACATTGTGGATACCATGGGTTTAGAGGGGGAGGGCAGAGAGGAGATGGAGAATTTTTAGATGAAAAAATAACACTTATACCGTTTTCTATAGTGCCCGGTTTTGTAGACCGGTTATTTTATGGAACTTTATGAAACACTTTATTCTCAATTTTCCATCCAAACATTATTCATTCGTATTTCTTTTTGATTCGTGTTGCTTTGATAAACACGAGCCCATCTCCTCTCCCACAAAGCCCTTTTTTAGTTCTCAATTGGCGAAATCTGGATTTTTTTTTTTTTTCATTTGTAGTTCTTTTTGATTCGTATTGGTCTGATTATGAAAATATGAAATATTAGATCCAAGTAAGGAGGCATACAGTGTATAGAAGTCATTGGCGGTGGCACATCGCAGCCTCTTTTTCCCCCCCTCCCCCTCCGCCCCCCCCTCTAACTCCCCACCACTTTTCACAGTTGGTCCGTTGTACCGGCAAAAGATCGTTGCCCTTCTAAATATAAGTTTGCAAAATCAAACAGCTAAAGTCTGGAGTTTTGCTGTGACTCTCACACACTTTCGTGGCATTGCATATATTACAGGGGGGGAGAGAAAGGGTGGTGATGATTGTTTGGGTTTTCATGCTTATGAATTTTTCGTCGGAAATGTTTCCCCCCTGAATGAATTAAAAATCATTATTAACAGGAGAGGGAAAAGAAAAACATTCTGAAGTCATTAGAAAGTATTCTATTCTGCTCATCGATGGAATTTTCAGATTTAGTCTTCCAAGAATAATTCGCGTCCCCTCTCGGCGCGAAGAAAGAAATTTCGTGTCTTATTTGAAAATACTCCGACTCGAGAATTGTAAAAAAAAATAACGTAGTCGTAGGTCAGGAAAGTGCGAGTGATATATAGTTATACCGTGCAGAAGGAAGTGAAGAGGAGAAAGAGAGTGATGGAGGGGGAGTGGTGATGGTGAACATGGAACACAAGAGAGCCGAAGTTGTTGGAGAAAAGAGTGAGGGAGTGAGAGGGATAATGCCCGGAAAGAAGTAGGGAGTGGATAAAGAAAAAGTGGGAGGTATGGTGATACCCAACGCCACCGCGAGGGGGCGGGGGCGGGAGGGAGATACGCAAGACGGCGGGAGGGGGTGGTGGACGTCAGAGCGCCAACGAGAGATAAAAGAAAATATAAAAAAGAAGACCGTGGTCGAAAAAAAAAATATATATCCGCGATTTACGAATCTGGGTCACGGGACGTTGAGACAGTGCAAGAAAAATAACGCTTGTGCAGTCCAATGTCAGACGCCTACAAAAAAATTAATATAATATAAGTAACGAATGCAATTGCGCTTGATAAGGCCCAATTTTTAAATTACCCTCTGAAATTCCAATAACTTTCAATATCTATCATCGTGTGAATAAAAATCTTCGTTAACCCCCACGAGTGCAGGAAGCTCCATTGCGAGGCCCATTTTGCGGGTGTAAAAAAGTGGGGG